TTGCTCTTAGCTATAGATATATATATATATAGTTTTTTTTTTTCCAGACACATAATCCCAGACTTTCACTAAGGAATAATATAAAGGCAGCACCACCTAGTGGTACCAAAACCACAGTGTAGTATTTTCAGTGGTTTCCTGAAAATCCTTTTGGAAACACAGGGGAAACTCAGCTGAAATTATTTTTTAAATACTCACATGACATTTCACATGTTTTGGTCTTTTGTTTTTTTCAGCAAGAACATGAATAAATATTTGCAAGCTCTTAGCATACATATATATATAAATACATATACTTGTTTTCTGTTGTAAGTACGCTTTGGAAAGGAAAAAGGGAAGTGAACAGGTGCATTAATCACAGCAGATAAAATATTTTTCTTTTTATTGTGCATATATATATTTTTTTTTTTTAATATCAGGTACCACAATAATTACTCCTCATACCTTTCTATCCAGCGTTATTATTTACTACTGCATGTGTAAGGTTTAGATGAAAACCAAACCTACACAGGAATAAGAAATACCTGGCAACTTTGGACCACTTCCCAAATATTTTCCAGAGCACATTCCAGGGAATTGTAGTGTATCTTGCTTCAATAAATATAGTCCATGACAGAGGTCAAAATATAGTCCATGACACCTCTCAAAAATCAGAAGGGTCCAATGTGTCAGGGCCCAGTTTTCCTCCCCAGAGATGGTATTGGCACATGGATTTACATCTGTGCTCAGTAGCTGTACAGTGCTGGGAGTATCACTTGGTAGCAGTTTAGATCATCCTACCATCTGCTTTTCACTTACCCATGTAAATCCTCTATTGACACTTCTGTGACACTTCAGGAGGTGAAAAACCCTTGGATTCATCTGCATCCGTGGGAGCCTGCCAGTGCAAACTACCATTGTTCTGAACAGTGAGAATCAGTGATTTGTTACAGCCCTTCTGAGTCTTCCTCTGGGCATGCACTGGTAATGTTTGGCATTACCAAAGATATAAATCTGTAATAATTCTATGAAATTATATGATAGCATGTTTTAAAGTTAGAAACATTATGTGACAACATAGCATAGGAAGGAAAAACCTCAGTGATCAAAACCAGCAGTGGCCTTGTTTTTTCAATGCAGTGCAAATAGTACACAACAGACACTCCAAACTATTCCTGCCTCATCCCTTTTCTCTCAGCCTGCCCCATCCTCCTTGCAGTTCACATCTCACCTCACCATTCCTGAGCTGGCACTCCCTGTGGTATTTGGTACAGCCACAAAGCCTCCACTCCTGTGGCTTTCCCACTCCTCCCTTCCCAGTCCCCAGCACCAGCCCAGCTCTTCTGTCCCTAGCTCCAAACTCACCCCCAGTGCCTGCTTCTGTCACAGCTGCCAGGCATCCTACTCTGCATCTTCACAGCCATGTCACAGCTGGGGTATTTCAGAAGCTCCTAAGTTTCATTCACCACTGGCACACAATGTTGCTGATGCTGGGACTATTTCACCACTGACCTCGTATATTCCTTCCTTGCCTACAAGAGAGTATGGAAAAACAGAGAACAAACTGACTGAATGGAGTTAAATCTTTTATGGAATTCTTTATCATTTCATGGTTGGGGATAACTTCTTTTAAGTCTTCCCCACGTCTCAGAATGACTTCATTCTAAACTCTAGTTCTCCTGATAGTTTGAAACCTTCCACACCAGTTAATTTTTCATTGTTACTGGTGATAATTGTTTTGAACAGGCATTGTCCTTTGCCTTAAGAAGTAAAGAGCTTAACCTGAAGGTATTTGAAGAGAAGATTTATGTCCTCATTCAATATTCACTTTTCTAGACTAATTACATAAACTTTTTGAGGATAAATTTAATCTCTTGCAGATATCCATGTTTCCACTACCTGTTATCTAATCCAACTGGAAAGAGCAAAATCAACTCAGCAGTTTTGTGTCCAACAAAACAAGTTCTCCAAACCCCATGGTTACATAGCTTCCAGATGTGCCAGGGCTTGATCTGCCAGCAAACCACAGGGAGGCAGAGCAAAAACCATTATAGTATAACCCTTTCTCCACTCACAGAAACTATTAATCTGATAATCTTAGTGTATCCTCATCTGTCCAAATCAAACTCTACCCTTCTTGAACAGTGAGGCACATTGTATTATAGCACTTAGAAGTATCTCTGACAGAAGTTGGGGAAGAATAGGTCAGATTGCATCCCATACATTGTAGGCTGTATTTATCATTATTCTCACATACTTGCACTTTCTAGTCACCTGTGATTATCTAAGCCTTCCTCCACATATTACAGTTTCAAGTGGCGAGCTCCTCAAATAAATTATTTTAATTTCCTACGCACATATATTTTGCTATTAAATTAGAGACCATTTCTATTACATTCTGGATTGGTTTTGTTGTTGTTTTGGTTTGATTTTCACACTTTATGCCTTTTTTTCTTTATATCTTTAGTACTCTTCTGTGTATTAAGCAATTAATCAAAACATTAACATTAGAGTCAGTCCTTGGGTATTTCTTGGATAACTTTGCCAGTACCTTTCCTCCACAATGACAGTACTCTTAACATGTTATCTCCCCTTTTGCCAACTCATTACACACCTTAAATTCTTGTAAGAATCCCCCTCTTTTCTAGCTGAACTATTACTTTTCCATGGAGTAGTGAATCTTTCAGTTCAATGCAACAAGTTAAAGACTTGAGGCTGCTAAAGAAAAATGCCAATATAAATAGTAATTAAAATAAGAACAAAGCCTTGTAAATTCTGTATAAATATTTTATTATGTATAAAAGACAACTTACATGGATAGGTGCTCCATTAGAACAAAATACTGGCTGTTTTCATTAAAAGGTTCAAATGCTACAAAAAGCATTTCAGAATGTCTCTTCCATCTTCTGCACTGACATTTTACTTAGGGACTCATACCAAGCAGCAAATGTACTGCAACATAGCAGTGGCTGGTGTTTCTAATGATGCTATGACAAAGCAAAAGGAAGGCACCATATGGCATCCAAATTTGGATTCAAGGCAGGAGCTCCTTGTCTCCAAGTCAACAAAACCAGGCAGAGTTATGGAGTCAAATACTCAGTCCATAGACTTTTAAACAGATTTTGCAAAGCATCTCCTTCGGGATGTCAGCTGGCTCTGGCAAATACAAATTTCTTCATTTGATTTAAGATGGAGACAATTGAAAATAACAATGGAAAAGGGAAAAAAAAAGGAAAGATGGAATAATTGGGAGGCTTGGAAAAATCAGAAGGCAGGCTTGTTCAAGGAAAATACTCCCTACAGAATACCTGGTTTTCTTACAGTACACATATATGCTCAACACAATAATAATATTTTAAAGTCCTTATGTAGGCATTTATTCCTCTAGTAGATCAGACCAGTTTTGTTTAGTGTTATTATTTTGCATAGGAGATCCATACAAAGGAGATTTTGGTTCTCTTTTGTCTAAACCTTGAAAAGGCATCACAAAAAGAAATCAAAATATTTTAACAGTGCAACTGTAGTAGCTAGGTGGCAATGTGAAATTTCATGTCCACCATTAAAACTACAGTGTTTTTAAATTTCTAACCTGTCTTTGACTTCCAAAGGCTAGACAACCAAAGAAAAATTTTGTCATTTTAAAAAACAAGTTTCAAAACTTTTGCTAAGTTTATTTAGCTGAAATATTTATGATTGCATGTAAACTACCTCCCAAAAAAGTCAGAGCCTGACATGTAAACAGTTAACTATATATAATTACATATGTACCATAGTAGGATATGCAGGTTTGAACATTGTCCAAGGCATAATGTGGACACAGGGTACAAGGTTTCTCTCAAAAATGGGAATGTAAGGTTAGTGCAGTGATACTAAAGTTATCCAAAGTATCATGAAAGGGAGAGTTTTCTGTTGGCTGTCATAGGAAAAATAATCATAATAAAAAAACCGAACCAAACAAAACAACTCCCAAAAGACCAAACCCAAACTTCCAGGTGTCCACTCTTTCTGTTAGGCACCAGACAGTAAACAAACTTCTCTGAATACTTCAGTAGTCACATTTCCATCCAACAGAATTCTGTATTTGCCTATGGGTTCCGCAAGTTAAAATGGGAAAATTCCAGTTCTTACTGCTGAAGAACAGTAAAATTTACTGTTTCCAGTTCTTACTGTTGAAGAACAGAATAAAATCAAAAGTAGCATTTTAATTAAATGATAAGAATGTAACAACTACTTTCTTTTAATATTTACATTTAGGTTTGGCATATTAGCTAGAACAATGAAAGTGGCTTGTGCTTTGGTGATGAGAACAATGCCTGGCTTCAAACTCTCCAATGTGACATTTAAACTTTCATTTTTAAGACTTTTATTTTTTTTAAACTATATAAAAACATTTTATGGGGATTATGTTTAGATAAATTTGTATATGTTCTGTATTTCAAGTCTAAACAACTTGATGTATGTTGTATTTTTTCTATCCTTACTTTTCATATTACTGGAATTTTTTTTTTTAATACATGTAGAGTAAATGTTTTTACATATTAAAAAATTATCTCAAAATTTCATTGTTACGTGGAAACTTTTAAAAAACACTGGAGGACAAGAAACAGGAAAATATAAAGTTATACATGCAGCTAATTTCCACATATTACATAATAATCCCCTTGCTCTCAAATGCACTCACTGAGTAGCAGCATGACAAAACCACTGAATGATACTGACATGTCTGAATTTACTTCTGGTTGGCTTTTTTCAATGCATGTGCTGTTATTACAAGGAATTCTCCCAGATAAAAGGAGATTCCCAGTGCAAAAGGAATCTTTTTGGTATGTATTTTCATATGTGTAATTAACTGTTACAGGAGAGGTAATTGCTCTTATGTACTGCTAGAACTAAGGCAGAACATAAAACTTCATGATATTGTCAAATAGCTACAAACCAGAGAACAAGCATGTTTTAAACTTCCACAAAATGCAAACCTGTTTCCATGAAAATAGTACAAGCACTTCCAAAATGTTTGAGTTTCACTTCCTGTCAGAAAATCTGACATTGATAGAGTTTCCAGGAGTCAGAAGTCCATGAGTTTTGGCATGAACTGGTTCCGTTTTGGGAGAAATTTTGATTTCAAAATTCTGAAGTAGCTGTGAACATAAACAGGACAAGTATTAGAAAAACTGCAAAATTACCAATGAGGAGTAGCCTTTAAACAAGAGAACATAACACTGTCACAAGCAAAATTTGTGTTGCCAGTTTGGCAGAGTTTAAGTGCTATGATTCCCATCCAGGAAAAGAAAAAGAAGGTGTTACAAGGTAAAGATTATAATCCAAAATCTTCCTCCTCTGATTGGAGGGAGGACTAAGCAAATCCTTTCGGAAGAAATCCCACAGAACCAGATTAAATAGTCTGAACTACCAGATTAAATAGTCTGAACTATCAAAGCAACTAAGGTCTCCCAAACTTTGTGAGGTTCCCCTCTATGTCTTTTTGATTTCACTTCCTTTAATATAAATCAATATGTGAAATTATTAAGAAAGCTGTTGGAATCCCAATCCCATCAGAATCATTCTTCTAAATGAAGAATACTTCAGCTCTCTACTTTTACACTTTCAAGAGGGAAATACTGCAACATTCTCAACTTTTCCTAATAATAAGTCCCAAACACTTTTTTCTGTAAATTAAGTAATTTTCTCTTATTCTTTCTCTAGTATGACTGATAACCAATGCATTATTTTCCGAAACATAACTACATTTTTCAGTGTCAGATGTCTGATGAAGCTTTTATTCAATTTTTCTTTTTAAAATCCCTCTTGTTATTATCTTTGTCTTCCAAATTTCCTTGAATTTGGCTATATTGTTCTTAAAATGCATTGCATGGGGATGGCTGTTTATTGTTGCTAAGTGAGGACTCATCAGTGTTTGGCAAGACTGAGTAATTTAGCTCCTCCTTCTGACATACAAAATGCTTGCTAATGCTGTTAATATTATCTAGAAACACATTGCCTTGTCAGAATTGAATGATTTTTTACTGTATCATTCCAGTCTATTCCTATGGTACTAATATTACTCAGACAGTTGTTCATAAATCTGTATTTATGCATTTATTTCTTCTCAAGGGCACTAACTTGCAACTGTCATTAATGAATAATTTTGTGTTGCTTCTAGAACTTTTCTTATTTTTCTTCAAAATTCTATATTCACATCCCCTGATTTTAAATTAATTCACAGCAGCTTGCTATCCCATGCAAACTGTAAAATTATCCTCTAATCCATCACTTACACTGTTAATGAAAATAACAGCCTAAATCAAATGCAGGACAGACTTTTACTGAATTTTAATTAAATGCTTTCCCAGTTCAACAGCAATTATTCTATAGCTACTGCCTCCAGCTATTTCCTTTTTCCAACCAGCTGTGCATGCATTTTGTGGGCACTTCCATCTGGAACAAATTTTATTAATTTAATTGAGAGCAAAAACATATTGGACGTGTGAAAATACTCCCTGAAGTCAGAGTACATGACTTACTTTATACCCCCACATGAGGTAAGTGATCAAGTCAAAGAAAGAAATTAGATTGGTCTGAAACAATTTCTCATTGATGAGCTCCATGTGTTTCTAATTTTAACTCACTGAAGTATCATTTCTGTGTTTGTAAATAGGTTGTGTGCTGATTTGCTCTAGTTTCTTTCCAGAAAACAAAGCAGGTTCTCCATTGCTTCCTTGAGCATCCTTTTAAAAAAGATGGAAATGTGTTTGTTTTACCAAGCCCCCTGGGAGCTCTCTCACTCTCAGCTCCAAAAGACAGGCACTAATTGTTCAGAGATTGCTCTCGAAGTTTATTGAAGGAAATTCAAAGACAAATTCAATCAAGCTTTCCTTTGAATACGTGAAATGGATCTAAATATTTTTATAGTTAAGTAACTATAAATAATTGTCAAATCTTCACTATTTGATTGCACAGTCTGTACTCATTATTTGAGCTGTAGGCTGTCTTGTAAATGACAAAAAATGTAGCAGCTGTTGGGAACGTTTTCTTTATGATATGAACCAATCAAAAACAATATATCTAAATATGTACTATTTATATAACTATAAATTATGTATATCTAAAATGAGAATGAGTTAAAGGAAAGAACCAGAAGAGACAGAAAAGCCCAGAACATAGAAAAATTCTACTGTTTGTCATCACACTGCGATCAGTACAAGGATATAAAATCTATTTTCCATCTTTGTAAGTTCTGAATTCTTCTAAAATAAACACAGAAATTGAGCAGGTAACCATTGTAATATACATTAAGAAAGATTTCTGATTTGCTTACAAAAGCCTTCTGTACCAAATCTATATATTTCCTTAACAAACTTACCTTTAGTTTTACATCATGTGTACTATACCATCTGCAATGTAGTTTAGGTACTATGCTGTATTTCAAGCATGATTATTTTCAATTTTTAAGTCTTTGCAGCTTGAGTACGTTAGACAACACTCCAAAACAAAGATTTTGAGCACTGTAGGATACCCAGAAATGGCATACATTAAAAAAAACAATACCAATTCACTTTCTTCTTGTAGTGCTGTCACATAGCTCTAACCTGAATCAGTGCAAGATGGATTTCCAGCTCTGCAATTCTTTTTCCTATACAACTTCTAATGCCATAACCAAAGGGGATGGAGCCAAAGTTGTCTACTCTGTCCAAGTTATCTTTCCTCAGCCAGCGCTCAGGTCGGAACTCATTTGCCACTGAGAAATTTTCTTCACTGTATGAAGTGGCATAATGACAAAGTGCCAGCTGGGTCTGAGGAAACAAATGATATTTATATTCAGCTAGCTCCAACACACATAACAAAATTTAAAAGCATTTACAATTACTGTAATTTCTGCAATAAGAAGTGATAAAAATTAAGCAACTCAGTAATTCTGAAGACAAAAGGATACCTCAAAAATCAAATCCCTCACTCAGTTGGTCAAAGGAAATAATCTTCAAATTGTTTTCAATGTTGCTGGATATATTAGAGAACATGCAGTGGGGAAGGAGATGGGAACAAGTTACAAGTATTGGGAATTGTTTCATGAAGTTGCTTTGAGAAAAAGGGAGAAACTTTCCACAAAGGGAATTAACAGACAAAGAATTGGAAAACTGCAAGAATAATGAAATCTATGCTTTTTAAATTGAATTGTATCATTACACAGATATGTTATAAATAGACTCCACTATCAAGGATATTAAGAAGAAGTCATGATGATAAATTTCATTTGTAGGTGAGGACCCAAATAAAAAATATCAAAACAACAGCAACAAGTCAATCATAAAATCTATTTGTGGCATATAAATGGGTATTACTGAAATACTTTCCTCCTAATGTTCTAGCATGGTGAAAACTTTTAAAATCAATGAAGTGTATATATGTTGGAGCAGATCATATTTCATTTGCAAAAATTAAACTGTTCTCTGCAGAGGACTTCAACAGAACCTACCCCTTTAGGTATCAAGTATCCTCCAATGATCAAGTCTTTTTGGGTCACTCTTCCATTTCCTGGCAATACTGGATATAACCTAGTGAGAAATATTTATCTGAAGTTCAAAAGTAATAACTAACACAAATTTTAAAATGTTAAGATTCCAATTTGCATTCACAAATATGCAGGATGAATGCCATAATCATTCACACCAAAAATGTTTATAGAGTACAGAACACCTTGAAGCTTCAAAGACCTTGAATCATCTGTGAGAATATGACCATCATCTAAGAAAAGTTATTTATTAGTAACTGAAGATTGAGCTATTTGGTCTATGCATTTATTTGCTTTATACATGTACAAGCATGAAGGTAGGTGGTCAAGCTGGAGACATTTTAGCACTACTGCTAAAGCTTAAAAAGCCTTATTGATGCCTTCTCTAAAATCCTCTTACTCCCCTCCCCTCATGATGAACATTTAGTATAAACATATTTTTAAAAAAAGTATGTCACATGACTTTCATTTAAATCAAAAAGCTTAAAATTGTTGAAGTGGGACTGCGAAGTACCAGTGTGGGGGAGGAGTTTGTTACATTTTATCATACAGACTAAAGGGAAAAATAAAGCTTTCTATTCCCTACCTTAACAGACATGTCCTATGTTTGTGATACCACTTCTACCATACTGAGAAACACTAAACATTATATAATCTATCTTATTCATTGCTTGAGCATCCTTGGACACAATACTGCTGAAATAAATAAAAGTAGAAGCAGCAAATTGCACTAGAAACAATAAACTACAAATGCTAAAATGGACTCAAAATTCATTAGAATAACATGGAATTAAATCTTTTAGTTGTCTGCTACTTACCTCAAGGTTTCTTTCAGGACAGCTCTAATCAAAGGCAATTTTGGGACATCGTGAGCCACTGGAACTTGATCTTTTCTCAGTTTATTGACTATTTCCTCATAAACACGTTGCTGCACCTCTGGGTGCTTTGCCAACAAGTATATGGCCCAGGACAAAGTGAAAGAAGTCTAAGGAAAAACCACAATCATCAAGCCCAACAAGATTACATTAATACTAATTTCAAGCCAAGAAAAACAATCAGCTTTCAACTATGTGTTTTAAATGTTTAAAGTTATGAAACAGGCTGGCAATGAGTCACATCTGGATTCAATGGGAGGTTGCCAGACGTTGCCATCCCCTCCTTCATCCCTTTTCCATCTAAAAGTCCACCACATATCAAAACAATCCCTGCTGATATTTTCCCAGTGAAATATAAAAAGCAACAGACAAACCAAATGCAAACCCAACTATGTGAGCAATATTGAAACATAAACACTCCAAACAGCAATGGATTAAGTTAGCTCTTAGTTTTCAATATGCATTTCACCTTTCTTTCCAACAAAAACACTTCACAGGAAACAAGATAAGAAAATTCTTCTCACAACATTTCCAACCCCTTTTAAGCATATGGGGGTCCCCCCATAGCATCCACACAACAGAATTGATATCACCACTGCCTAAGATTATACTTTATCCTTTTGGTAAGCAATGCTCCACCACTATCATTTAAAAATATTTTGTGTGAAGAAGAAACAGAACACGAGGCAGGACACGGTTCAACTTTGAGCACAAGAGGATTTAAAGAACCCCATCATCTAATCTTTTTTCACCACAGCTGGATAAAAAATCAGTTTGTGGAAATGTCTTATTTTGGTCTTAAGTTTAAGATCAATTTAGAATGCAAATTCATCATGATGGTGACCTTTTATGTCTTGTCTTCAAACAGGGGTATAATGCTTGAAGAACAACTCTCATAAGCTTTTCTTGATTTTCTTGCAATATGGAATGGCTGCGCCTTCTACAGAGCAACCCAGAGCAGCTGAAAATTGTACAGAACTTCTCTGATTAAACAGTGTTCCTTCCCAGGTTCCCAGTTCCTTCATAACTTCTTAAAAATTAGGACTGCTCCAGGAACAGACAAAATGCTTTGTAGCCAACAACTGCCTCACAATTCTGCTGAAAGGTTTTATTATCCTCAAAATCTCTTTCAGCTTCTATGATAAAATGAGATCTGAATTGACAGCAGCAGAAAAAAAAAAAAGTTCCTTCCATTTTTGTTTTGTACTTGAAAATTAGGAAATCAGAAGTATAGTCCTCTCAGAAAAAGACTGTTGCCAGCTGAGAAAGCTGAGTCAAATGGAAAGGGTAATTCTTCCTGGCATGAACATTGTCCTTTTAGTTTAATGAAAAATTTCACACACTAAAAATGGAAAATTAATGGTGTGAAAGATTAGAAAATTAATGGGATTAATAACTGTTTTACTTAAGAACCAACATCAAAAACCTCTGCAAATTATTAAACCCTTGGGACATTTAACCAATGGAGTAATATTCAGCACATAAAGAAGTTTTACATATTCTCCTTATTTTGGAATTCAAAAGTGATTGCTGCTGGGGTTTTTTGGTTTAATTTAGAAACCTTACAAACTTTCTTAAGCCAAAAAAATCTGAATTCAATTATCCAGAGAGTTTTTCTTTTCTTTAAGACCATTTTACTTTTTTACTTATTTTAAACCTTTTTACTATAAGACTATTTAAGTCCTACATAACACTTCTCTATCAAATTAATACAATTTCCTTAAAAAATTTGTTCAGTAACAATCATTTATAGTAGAAGTGTTCACCAATACTCTAAATAACTCTGTATACATTTTACATACAATAACTCATCTTTCTCTTTCCTTATTCTTCCAATGGTCATGCTGCAGTCAGTATTGAGCTACACTGATTTCATATGCTAGGAATGAGGGGGGAAGTACACATGACATTAATTTTTCTTCAAATGTATGGCAAATTAGAAGAATAAAGAATGAGAGACACCTGAAACACATTCCTAGGTGTTCACATATTGGATACACCAGCCCCACTAACCCTGAGCCTCTATCACAGGTCTCTGCCTCTGCCTGACTCTATGTTGCCAGCACAAGCAGGGGCAGAGAGAACTTGTGCCTTATCCACATCATTGCTGGCCTAACATTCCCCCAGTAATGGATTCCAGCAGAAACCAGGTATCTGATCAATAGTGTGTGTCCCAGTTGATTTAATTAGCCATACATGGAAATCCTTTACCAAACTCTACATATGAATTTATTGATCAATGTTTTTCACCCTAACTTTCAGATAACCTTTCTATCGTGCTCCACCTAAAGTAGCACAAACACCAACCTGATAAGCAAACTAGTAAAAGAAAATGTATGAAATACAAGCTGAATGTAAAGACAATTGCTATTTTATCTGTTTAATAAACTGAGGAACAGACTCCCAAGTGATGGGTTCCTGTAAACCACAGCTAGATCAGAACGCTGATTTCATTCCAGTGGAGAGATTACACACTACAGGAAGTATTTTGTATCACTTTAAAGGCCTCATGGCTTAAATCTGTTAAAATTACATCCTTACCAGTAATTTAACCCCCCTGAAGAGAGCTGCCAGTGATCCTGGTGTACAAAAACAACTATGCACAAGAAAAATGGTAACAAGCTTACTGTGTCCACTCCTGCCAGAAGCATTTCAGTCATGTTGGCATAGATCTCTTCCAAAGTAAGTTCCTTACTCACTAGGAGGTGTGTAAGTAGCCCACCATTCACTACTTCTCCTTGGTCCAGCTGAGACTGAATAGCCTTCAATTTGTTGTCAACATGGATTTGACCTTTGGGATTCAAAAAAATTGTTAAGCCTCCATTTTTATTTTTGTGCTGCTTCCATTCAGCAATCACTTTTCTCACACTACACTGCACATCTAGGGGAAAAAAAAAATTCTTTTTTCTTAAGGAAAAATCCTAGAGTGATGGTGGAGGTCTTTAGGTACTCATGGCAAGGAAAGATTGAGCTGACAGTAACCTTGGCAGCTCACAGCATGAGAATGCTGAGCACAAAGAAAGGACACAAGAGACTTCAGTGCCCTTCCTTGAGGGAAACTCAAGGCCAAGTTTTATGCCCACCTGGCTTGTCTCCTGGTGACTCTGCAAGAAGTGGTGGACTCTGCAGAGCATGCTGCAGCTCAGCACAGAGGCTGCTGCAAGATACTAGCAGCAACCAGAAGGTCAAAGCCACAGAACTTAATTATTTTGAAGAGGAAGATGAGGACCATCAAGTGATAACAAAAATACAAAACCTTCAATGAATGACACACTGAGCAATTTCACCCATAGCTCCATGTACATTCTAGTGACTGCAAACAGCATCTTTGGTCAAGCAAGGGATTTAAGAAGAGAAAAACTCCTCTGAAAGTTAATGGTTCACAGAATGAGCTCACAGAATGAGCTTACAAAAAATGAAAATGCATGTAGCTTTCTAATACTTGACAGAGAAAAAGGGTTCAAGTTTTTTTAACACTCAAGAACATTAAAAAAAAAATAAAATTGCAAAGACAACTCCTTCTTCCTACTCACACGAAAACTGATTCATAAAGTAGCCTGGAATGTTTTATTTACCAAAAAGCCCATATTGTAGTACATCAGTGTACTTCAATGTCAACTTATACACTTGTATATATATAAATAAACTTTACAAAGTGTTTAATGAATTGCTAGTGTCTAGTTTATTAACTTTCTAGTCAGTTTTAGTGGTGATTATGTTAGGGTGCCTAATTAAAATTTTGCTGAAGTCAACAAAACTACCCTCATTAAAACTGAAGTGGCTTAAGATAAAACCTTGGCAAAGCTCTTGGACCTGGAATGACAAGCGGGTGCTGAAACAGATGAAGATAAATAAAGAAAGAGCAGTATAAAATAGGGGAGTTTTGAAATGTACTGATAAATTTTGTTTTCAGTAGAATATTTTTTAAAACAGTTCCCCTGGCCAGTCTGCATTTAATATGAAACTTACTTCTGCCACAATGTCTTCTTATAATTTTAGAAGAGAAATGCAGCTTGTCCCGTTCAAACACACACAGAACCTGCAGAAATACAGCTGAACTTTTCTACTACTAAATCTTACTAAATTTGAAGAGTCCATCCCAGGATCTGCAGAACTCTCTCCAGGGTTTTGGAATAAGTGGACGAAGCCATTTAGGAATAGCACCTGCATACATAGTGGTCTTAAACATGCTAAACATCAATTCCAGAGCCTCAATATATTCAACAGTCTGCTGTGGGATGTTGTTTTCCAGGCAGCCCAACCGGCATTCATACAGAATAGTGGCCACACCTGCACATAAAAAAATGAAAGAATTGTCTATATACATACATGATTATATTAATAATTTAAGGAATTAATTAGCATTAAATGGAACTACTTTACAAGAAATTTATTACTACTTCAGTTGGGGAACAGATAAAACAGAAATCCAGAGCACAGTAAAAGAGCCCAGCTAAACACTGCAGCAAGAGAGTAGTTGCTATGTCAATAATGCTCAGCATGAGAAGGCAGCCAGGAATTCCACCAGAAGCAGAGCAGCCTCCAGCCTGTTTGCTGTGTTTTGCACTGCACTGTGAATCCTAAGCCTGCCCTGCTGGCCTCTGAACACTCAGGGACACACGAGTCCAAAGACATTTCTGATAACTGCTGACAACAGAGGAGTTTCTACTACTGGCTGTGTCTGTCATCAGCTGGTAGCAAATGAATGCTGAGTTTGTGTAAATGGATAAAAATCTTGCACTCCAGATAGTGCTTTTACTGCACACACCATTCTCCACCCGACCCTAAAAAACAGCAGTGTGACACTGTTGCAAGTGACAATATTGACTGTCTCTTGTTCTGACTTGCTGTAATTTTCACGGATCTTTTTCTGCAGTTCTGCAGGCACCTCCACTAGACCTTATCTTTACTAACAAAATTAATTTTGAAATTTGGTTATTTTTAACTCACTCTTCCTTTCCTAATTTTCCTCCCTGGGAAGATATTTTTCTGCATCTTTTCTTTCCTTTTTGCCTCTTTCAGAAACTGCTAGTTCTTATACATCCTCTCACTGCTTACATGGTCCCTTCAAAGAAATCTTATGTATTGGTTCTCTGAACAGTTACAGGCTAAGTTAAATAAACAGCAAGTCATATAGAAAATAAATGTGTGCCAGGCACAAGTTACAAGTGAAAAACTAAAAGAATGTGAAGAATTTAAACCAACCCATCAGTTACAGTGAATCTGTAAGCTCACAGTTTGAAATTCCATAAACTGGTAGTTAAATGCCATTTTTAGACACTATTAATGTGAAACAGACCAAGCAGGCAGCCAGTAATTTGACACAAAGTGAGCAATCTGGATATTCTTCAAAACCCAAATTACTCAGTTGCCTGTCAGCAAAGAGTACCAATGTTTTTAAAAGGCATTACATGTAACAAGATGGGGTTGTATGCAGTCAGTTAAAGAAATATATAAAATATGTGTCACCATGAGATTTCTATAAGAACACAGGAAATGCCATACAGGCTCAGGCCAGGGTTTCATTCAGCATTCCCTCATTAATGGTAGCCAGTGGCAGATGATCTTAAGGTAAGCATAACAATCCCATAGTTGGCATCTGTAGGCAGGGAAAAGCAGTATTTTTTCCCACATTAAGCTGTGAACTGAATTTAGATACATCACATGGGGATTCCTCATTGGAATTTGGCTGGTATATTGTGAAATTAACATGCCTTAGAAGTCACCTGTTAAAAAGTCAGCACCCTTATTCTTGAGAAACTAATACAGAAATACAGAGTACTGAGACTGTTCAAGACCTTGACTGAACATTTTACCTATACACCAGCACTTCCATGGGAATTGCTCCTTAATACAAGGACTCTAAAAAGGAATCCTACTGATACCCAATGCACTAACTAGGAAGACACACAAATGCAGAATATCAAACTTCCTTTTTCAGATTAATCAGCACAGTCATTTGACAGAAATTCCTAACCACAACCACACTGCTTTACATCCATTTTCTTTACAGATTCACCCTGGGCTTACCTTCCATTGAATACTTGAAGAAAAGGTTGTTAACATTGGTCACTGTTTCCCCATCCTCCTCTTGGCTTCTGAGGGTGTGGATTCTTTTAATTAAGTCTGTGATAACTTCATTGACTCCTTCAGAGTAAACAGCCACATCTTTGGGTTTCAGAATTTTTTGCCTCAGTACACTTCTCATTTTTAGCCACTGCTCCCCCTCTCTAGAAGAAATTATTAATAATGTCAATACATGATTTTCCTTAACAATCATCAGCTGGGTAAGAGCTCTGCAACCAAACTGTTTGTAATTTTTCATGTCAAATGAGAGCAAACGGTAAAATGAAAATTATGATAATGTATATTTTGTATTGTGCTCCTACAATTTTATTCTGCTCCTACAATTATATTCTGTATTATTGCATGTCCTCATTAAATTTCAGTGATGCAACCTGTATCTTAAGGTGTAAGTCAATCTCTGGGTTGAGTGACAGAACTTGCCCACTCAATGATCCGAATTTGATGAGTGTCCCTATGTTAGTCTGTTAGTAGTAGCTAATGCAAGAAATTTGTAAGATATTCTATTAAAATTACCTCGAATGGGTGGTCTGCAAAACTGCTTTTACAGAGAACCAGTACTTAATTACCAAATAAAGGTCTCACATTCACATCTGACAAATCAACAACTTGAGCTGGTACCATAAATTCTGTTACTGATACATCACTTTCAGCTGTCCCAGCTCTAAACCCACAAAGTAATAAGAGAGCAGAGCTACCTGCAGAGAAACAACTTACAGCTACACATTCTGCTTTAGCTGAGCTATGTATGGAAACCTTGATGCTGAAGACTAAAAATCTGAATTGTAGTATCTACATGCTCTGTATGAGCAGCGTATTTGGGAACAGTGGCTCCAAGCATACTTTTCAATTCCTTATGAAAATGGGCAATTATCTTTTATGTGTTTATTTAAAATTGTTATATTTCCCATTACTTTTTTTACCAGGAGCAATGCCATTGCAAGGCACAGAAACTTATCATCCAGCAGAAGAATTTGATCTCTTTAACATATATCTCCTGAGTCTCCTGATTTAAGATCTCTTTTCACTAAGTATCAAGGAACTGTTAGTTTGAGTCTCAACTGCAGCTTAAGATTTGGGTCTGCAGTGCAATACATAACACTTTTGCTACCATGAAAAACAGACTGTCCATGACTCAGGAAATTAATTTCCCTCTAAATAAACATCCTATGTCAGTGGGGACTCTGAGTAGTTCCCAGTGGCAATTAACCACACCCACACGCGCTGCCAGGTTATGCAAGCTGCACAGACAGATAGCTCTTCTGGATCCAGCCAGATTCAAAAATATCTGTCTGGGGATGCACTACAGTGTGAATTGACCATTCTTTACATTTGTCTACTGAGGGGGCACTTCAAAGAACAATAAAGCTAAAACCAACCTGAGCCAACAATTCCACACAGCACACTGCCTGCTAGATAGAACAGTCTAGAACTGATGCAATGAACCCACATTCATGCAGTGCAGTGCCAAAGCTAGTAAGCTCTATTCTGTAAAACTGCTTGCAGGTAAGTGACTCAGCTCAAACTCCAGTTGATACACACTCCCAAAGAATGTCTTTGTGCAAAGTAGCTCACTGCACACTCAACTACACATCATTGCCATGCCTTTGAAACTTCACAGCAGGACAAATTCACAGCATTCACCACAAATACTTCTCCCCACTAGACACACAAATTTCCCCACAGAGAAAAGCCTGATTTCCCAGATGACCTGTACAGTCCTTCAGAAAATCACTAAACTTGCACAAGAAAACAGGGAAAGTGAAGGGCTGAGAGCACTTACGCAGAAATGAGCCCCGTGGCTCTCCCCCGTAAATCTCTGTACTCCTGCCAGGATTCCATGTTGGCTCTTTGTGGTGCTCTGCCTTCTGCTCGGAGCACTTGAGCAACCATGTCTCGATCTGCAATGGATACAACAAACTGGGGACCAAAGTGAGACTTGAAGATCTTTCCATATTCCTGAGTGTGTTTTTGCTACAGCATCACCAACAAAGAGAAACAGAAGTCAAGTATTACTAAGGAAAACTATGACAAAAGGAAACTAACAATTTGTTATACACAAACTCTCTCACATCTAGAATTTGATCCCCAGCCTTCTAGTCAAGGAACAGTTTGAAATGTCAGGAGAAGCATGTAAGCATTACTGTGAAATATTCACAAGGAAAACAGAGAGGTCACACAGTTCAGGACCCTGACTGGAAAGACCCAAAGCTCTAAGGAACAGAGTATGAGTGAAACCAAACACTGAGAAGATGAAAGCACTTCAAAACACATCCCTTCAGATCAAACAGGTCAGAAAGCATGTCTGCAAAAATGAAAAACATGAAAGAATATAGGGTTAAATTACCACTACAATACAAAGATATCTCTTGTGAATAACTACTTACTCTACCATTTAATTGCCTATAAAGAAGCTATGCATAAGTTTCTCACACCTAACCAAGAATAATGACAGCACAACAGCCTAGTGAAAAACTGCATTTTGGAACAGATTGGTCAGCAGTAAATTTGAGAGAGACATATGCTAATTCTGCAAAAGAAAGGAAAAGGTGGGATCTTATTCTTCAAATGGGGTTTATTAAGTGGTTGATCCACAAATCATGTGATTCAGGCTTGAGGCAAATAAGAGGATTGGAAATTAATAAAGAGGATTGGAAACATTAAGCTGTGTGTATATATATATTAAAACAAACATACAAAACCAACCCAAACAGTTTTCCAGTAAGATTGCACTATCACTCTCCCATGAAATCTTACTGATTATTTCAAATAAATTTCATTCTGACATGGTCATGAAGTGAAATTCTCAACTCTTACAAATTCACTTGGAGTCAAGGTACATCCTCGTTTCAGATGGGGGAAAAACTCCCCCAAAACTGCAAAGCAGTTATTCAAAAGATATGCTTAAGACTGTGAAAATCAATTTTAAAGCCTTTATTTCTGGTTAAAGTATTAAGACAAGTTAAACTGACCAAAGTTTAAGTTTGACACATTATCTATATTCTAATCCAAAGACATCTGCACGCAGTTATGCTGATTATAAACCAAAGATGGTTGACACCAACTGCACTTGTGAAAATCTAGTATTGACCCAAGATTAATTTATGTGAAATATATTTTATTTAATCTTAGTTACAGAGATGAACTGTTTAATTGCCAACAATAAGTTAAAGACACATGAATCACTCTTCAGAATATGATACCAAGTACACTTAAAAAAATGTAATTCTTTTTGTCTAGTCTCCAAATAAAACATGAGTTGTGCAATTGTGGTCTCTGCCAGTCACCTCTTAACTACTTTTGGAACACAATGGACAACTTCAGTCACAGGTCTAAATATTCTTACCATTTTCAAAAATCAGCATCTAGATTCATATGAGACACATGTATTGGTCATCCTGATGAGGGAAATGCTACAGCAGGAACTCAGTTGTCATTTCTGTGTGGTCTGCTCCTAACCAACACCACAGACAGACCAAGTATGAACAACCTCTCCCAAAATCAAAAGCATCTCTTGCCTTAGAAATACTTTAGGGATACTGAACTTGGAGATAATAACTTTGAGAGTATGTGTCTTGAAAGAAAAGCATGAGTTGTGAAAGGAGTGTGGCAAGGAAAAATCAGTGGAGTGAGAGGAATACAGGCCACCAGTCACAGAAAAACAGGTTCAAAAAATTTTGGTACTTAGGGAGCAGTTTATTTTTTCAGTGATGGTGAGGTTTACATGGGACAACAACTTCAACAGAAAATAAATCAAGTGACAGCCATGCAATCAAATAAATTAAATACTAGTTTAAAACCAGAAATGGACAGGAACAAATTATTTGGAAAGAACAAAGTATTTGGACATGCTTTCTTTCAATAGATTGAACACCATTCTATCAACTTCATGTATTAAAAAATGCCCAGGATTTCCATTTCAATATTTTCTATCACAACATGGGTTTTTTCTTTCCTTTGTTCCAAACCTTGAAAATGTTCCTCTCTGGTGCCTCACATACCACTCTCACACCAGTCATTCTTTCACACACCATAAATTCAAACTGCCAGCATCCAAATCCCTCCCTCCTCACCTTTCTTTTCTTTATCCTTGCATAGCACTGATGAGACAAAAGAGATCCAACCCCATCAAATTAAAAATACTTTCCCTTTGTCATAATTGCTGTAGGCATTACTACTTTGGCCAGATCTAGCTGGAATCATGTTACTGAGAACAGAACCTCCTTTGTGAAAAGGCTCTCGGCTTCCCCACCCCTTCTGCATATAGCACACAAATATTTGTGTGCACCAAAGGACATCGTTTAAGTAGCTGTGCTGGTTACCAAAGGGTTTGGGATTAATTCATTCCTGATGTTCACTGTATTGTTAAATTTAACAGACTGTTAAATTTAATGCCTACTTGCATTCTACGTGTAGGCAAACAGGGCATCCTGTGATTCTTGAGACTCTAGGCAGAATAAAAAACTAATATTACATTGCAATTTCTCCTTATCCTTCCTCACGCTTTTCTTTCTAGGAATAGAATTCACTAAAGAAAAAAATACCCATATCAGCTAGTGGTAGTGAAAAGGATAAACTATTTAGGATGTCTTATATTCTTTTTAATATTTTGAATGATTTTCACTGTTTTGACAGTGAAAGAACTTGAAACCAATGGTAGTGTTTTAGTGTTATGAAACTATGATGAGTACCTCTCAAATTCTGTACACCACCACAGAGTTAGAGGAAAAAAAGAAACAGAATGAAACAAAGAGCTTTAGCTGTCTTCAACTTCCACGTGCATGTCTTAGTTAGCAAGCAATCAAGCTGAGCAATTCATCATTAGCAATCTAGTTTGGGTGCCATGGAAGACAGCATACATCCTAACATTTCTTCTTAAAAATCTAAATTGTCAATATAAGAAAGCTGGACAAAACTAAGCAACTTATGTGATGCTTTATTTTTCTATCTCTTGCCTCTTCCTGGTGTTTTTAGGCCCTTTGTAAATCTTAACTTTCAAGTTTTGATTCTCATACCATTTAAAGTTCGTTTTTCTTTACTTTCCCTTTTCTATTTTTATTTTCCTTTCTCTCTCTTCTTTTTTCTTGAAATTTCAGTAATTTTCAGACAGCAAACCTCTTGGGGTTTGTGAATTTCTGACTGTGAATTTCTTAGCGATTTGGGAAAGGCCACTAAGAAAAGCAAAATAACAAATGCCCAGTTTGAAGTATTCCCAACAAGATATGTACTGCCGGTGGAAAGCTCATGGATCCACAGCTGCAGAAGAGTGAAACACGCAGCTTTACTCCCTTATACACAAAGGGCTTCCTTTAGAATCGCTTGGACTGCACGGGGAAAGGGCCCCAGGAGATGCACTGTGACTTTTCAGGAATGAAACCCACATGTTTGGCCAAGCAACCAAAAGAATTCATCTCTGGATAGCGACAGCCTTACGGTAAGAGTGCTGCCCATGCCAGCATCCCACACTGGCGCTGCACAGAGATCCTCGTTCCCTAGCTCCCTCAGGGATAACGCGCCTCGCCCACCCTCACCAGGTGCGCCCGGAGGAGAGGACCCGCCACGGCTCCACAGCAGCGGAGGTGCCCAGACCGGAGGACGCTGCCCAAGCCCCACCTGGCCTCTGGTTCGCTTGGCCGCCTCCCCCCGCTGCAGCACCGCCACACGCCAGGTGACAGGAGCCGCTCTCGGCCCGCCCTCCGTCCTTCCCTCCCTCCTTCCCTCCCCTCCCCTCACGCCGCCATCCGGCCGCGCTTCCCGCCACCGCTCCCCTCCCCCGCGCCAATGTGGCGGCCGGGCAGGGGGCGGCAGGGCCGGCGGCGCCAGCCGCCACCATTCGCGACCACTCCGGGCCTGTCCCTCGCCCCCCCGGCGAGTTCGAACCGCCCGCCTCCCGCCACAGGGCCGGCCAGCACTGACGGCAGCGGGGCCAGGCGCATCTACCCCTCCCTCAGGCACCGCGATAGGCAGAGTGTATTTATGTAAGGGGAGGCCGGGGCAGGAGAGACAAAATGGTCTCGAGCACGGCGGGGCCGGGCTGAGGGAAGGGCAGCGGCCGCGGCGGGGTTGGGGCGGCCCCGGGTGCCGGCGCAGCCTCACCGCACGGGTGGGTGCTGCAGTCCAAGAGTCCGGGGAAGCCCACGTTTCCCAGCCCTGCCCGCCGAAAATAAGCCCTCTGCAAGCTTGTGAAACAGCCCAGTTAAAAAAAAAAAAAAAAGTGGGTTTTGTTGGTTTTTGGTTTTTTTTTTTTTTCCTTCTTTGAGCTCGAGGCACCTCCCCAGCGGTTGAAAACGCGCACAAAGATGCGCGGGGAGCGCTCGCGGGCGCCGGGGCACCGGGATCGTGGGATCCCCCGCGAAACAAAACTGCCGGAGCCTCCGGGGCTGCGGGAACTGGAGCGGGGGATCCCCTAAACCCAGCTCTCCCCTGCGGGAAGGCAGGGCGGCGGCGATGCCCGGCTGCGGTGCTGCTCGCCCGGCGATTCACCGGCGCTTTACCAGGGGAAGAAAGGAAAGGTTTAAGTAACCCTGGCGTGATTAACGCGTTAAGTACCCGAGGGAGCTGTACCTGGATTTCATGAATGCGGCCGAAGCCGTCCTTCCAGAAGAACTCGTAGAGGTTGTAGAGGGTGTTGGGTCCGGGCATTTCGTGCAGGCTCTTCACCCTGCCCAGGCGGCGCCGGGGGGGCTCCAGCAGCTCCGCTCCGCGCCCCTCGCCTTTGTTCGCCGCCGCTGCCCGCCGGCCGCTCCGCACCTCCAGCGGCTCGCTGCTGCTGCACGGCCGCGGCTGCCCGGGAAACCTGCTGCTGCTGGCAAAAAGCGCCTGGTAAAAGTAAGTCCTCTCACGTTCAAGTGTCTGCTTGCATTTCATCGTCAAAACTCTGGTGAAGAAAGACATGGCTTTCAGTTTCAGAAGGGTCCACTTTGCTCCTGCAGCTGCTTTTTATTTGGTTGTTCTTTCTTCGGTGCTTGCTTTAACTTGTACAAGCAGCACTTCTCCAAACTCTTACTGCATGAGCATCAGTTTACACAGACCATTATTTAACGCTCCCTCCCCTAGGGCTGGAAAAGGGGGGTGGGTCTGGGATGAGACTTGAATAGAACGAACCTATTATTTTGTATAATTCAAATCAGATAAATTTACCCATTATACATGCAGCCAAAGTCCAGCTTTTGCCTCTTTCACCCATTAGTTTGGTGAAAAGCTCACCCCATCTTTCTCCTACTTTTTATAAAAAACAGGATTAGGCCTATTTTTAAATTTTTTTTTTGGTGGCATTAATTCATTCCCCTGCGTTAGAAAATAGGGTATTTTCTGCAAGATGTTCTCTTAGAACCGTTCATTATCCTGTAACATATTTGAAAAACATTTGTGCATCCACATACAAGTAGCACTGGTCTTACACAATAACCTTACACAAAGGATTCCTGTAAATGACAATGTTCAGAGGTGTTATTTGTATTGCAGAATGATTTATCTTTTGGACAGGATCTTATCACTGCATAAGTAGCTTGTCAACTTTTGTAGAAATCCACACAGTTTAAAAAGTATTTGTGTTATTTTCGTATGTATTTCTGTATCATTCCAAAGATGTTAGTGATTATCTGTAAAATGTTGATTAGTTTCTGAAATGATGTGGAAGAGACTATCTTGGTTTTTAAGTGAATCAGACACTCAGATAAAATTTGAGGACAGACGAAAATCTCAAGGAAGATCCACATTTCTAGAACAGAATTATGAATAACCTGCTGAAAAAGTAAATCTAGTAAGCACCAAAATTATTCACTTATGTTTTCCTTATTTATCTTCACTTAGATTTTTGAGGCTGTATTCTGATTTAGCTCTGTGTACATGATTACTGTGGGCACTGATAACTCCACTGAAACAAGTAACTCTGAAGTTAGGTGCATCAGTCTTTATGGATACAGCAGTAAATTTTACAGGAATAAAATCTGTTAAAGTACATGCTGGTTTAAGCTAAAATCATGTCTTTGAAATGGACTGCATCATACTTGAAAGGGTCCAGAGAAGAGCAACAGGAAAAAGAAATTAGAAGGTTTTTAAAAACTAAATAAGAAAGGTTGAGAGACTGGGAAAGATGACTACCACAACCATGACAACAGCCTACAGATGTGGACATCTTTTGTTAAAAATGGTGCATGTCAGAGAGAGAAGAATGAAGATGATGGGCTTAGTTTGCAGCTACAGATTTCTTGATTACTTTTCCAGGTAGCCTTGGTACCTCACATTTCAGGCAGCCAGGACGTTACATACTTGCTATCACTGAGCTTTGCAAGAACAGGTTTGAGAACATCATCAGGGAACCTCTGAAATTCTCCTACATTTCTACAAAGTGTAGCTACATTACTTCTTTGATATATATCTGAAGATGCTTGGAGAGAGACAGTTACACAGATTTTTAAAATTATATTAACATTGTAATTTCTAGATTGCTGGAGAGAATATGTGCACTCTTCCTAGAAACTCCTGCTCAGTTATCAGTATGGTTGATTTTTTTTCTATTTTGAAGTAATACATGGTTAAGGTAAAGCATCTGCTGCTATTAATATGCTAGTGATATAAACTTAGATACATTATGCTGTAAAGGTTACAGTTTTGCAACTGGTAGTAGCTTTCTCTGAGTGTACCTTTTTCCAGTTTCCATATATGGAATTCTCCATTATTTTCCCGTTACCCTTTTCCCATGAAAATCATTGTAGGACATATTGTTTCTAGCCACTTGAAAAAGTTTCAGAAGCTTTATCCTTTAAGTACTTCACCAGAACAGTACCTGCTTTCCTTCTGAGGAATTTCTGGAGGTGGCAGTAGTCCCAGCATAGGAACTAAGGGTTGTATAACCCCACCTGCACTCAGTTTCTTCTCAGTTTACTTATTGTTAGATTTGTTTGTTTGCAATAAAATGGTCTGAAACACAGACCCCATTAAAAAAACCAACATGTAAACACTCAGAGAATTTGCAATTTCAGTGAAACAGTGAGCTCACCTGGTGCAGCCCATAAAACAGATGCAAACCTTCAGATCTCATTACTGGCAAACCTCAGCAAATTTTTAGTATTTTAAAGAAAGAGTGGAATGTGCCTTTTGAGAAGAGTCCCAATCCAGGAGTGTCTGTGAGACACTTCTATTACTGCTTATCATCTTGTAATTTTATTACAAGGAGACATCAGTGTTTTATAAGCAAAGCCAAAACCACACCATCCTGAAGAATTTCCAGAGTATATTACAGGCAATGGCAGAGTGTAACAAAGAAATAAATTAATAAGAAAGCCCAAAGTGGCAATGCACTAATGATAACAATTGCCAAATTTCTTTGATATAACAGAAGGATTTAAAGGGGTGTGTAAAGGTGCCATTATGCAAATCTATATAGAGTACCCTTCTTGCACAAATGGAGATGAATAGATTGACATCCACAGAAACTATTTTTTTGTAGTGCAGATGGTACCCAGAGGTAGGTCTGATGACCGGTGGGCCAAAAGTATTTATAAGTAATAGATATTTCTAGGCAGTTTGCCAGAGGGAGTAGAAATTCAGAGCCACTGACAGATGCAGCTCTGGTACACTATTAAAACCTTGCTCTACAGTAATCATCAGTAATACCATAGCAACCCATCAGTGCAGATACAAGTTTCTTTTTCTATGTAAACCGTACAAAAAGAACGCTCCAGACAACAAAAGCCAAATTGTAAGGTGGTTCAATAGCTGAACACAGGAAGGGAATGTTTATGAATGTGAGTGAATACATGTGGGCTACCACAACATGGAATGTGTAATTAAACCATTCACTTCTCTTTGCTGTGCCAGATCGTAATTGCGTGGTTCTGTTTGACTTTCAAATTAAGAGTTTTAGTGTACATATGTGCTACTAATGTTCCTGCTTTATTGACACACTTCACATCCTTACTACTGCAGAATCTGAGTTGGAGATCAAACTTGCAAAACTGCAGAACATTGAGTAGTCAACATTATGAGTAAACGCCAAAATTTACGCGACAAGAGACAGATGAAACTGAAATAAGTTTCCTAGAATAGACTTGAAAAAGAGAAAGGAAGGGTAAAGGAAAGGAGCCAATAAACATTTGAAAGAGCAGCAGAGGATGAAATGTTTAGAGGGCAGCCTAAAATGGTGGAGGGGTTGGCATTGTCTGGTCCCATTTTCCTCTCAGATATGAACACAGACTTATTTCAGGTAACAGAAGTCCAGCAGTAAAGCCACAGAATTCCCAGGAATAAGGGTGAGTATAGCAGCCATTATACAAAACCTCCTTCCAATTCCACATAATGCCACCAAACCATAAAGAAGGGAGGAGTTATGCCATCAGCACAAACCAACCAAAACACATTTATGTGACTTAAATATTTTCTCCTACTTGTACAACCTATCAATATATATATTTATCAGACATCTTAACACTGACTCAGAAACACACACAGAGTCCTTTAACTTTAAACAATGACGTTTGTCCTAGCCTGTTGGTCCTTGGAGTCCAAAAATATGTTTTATGTAACAAGTCAGTTGGGACTTTTGTTATTCCAAACAAGTTGGAGCACATGCCCCTTCACAGCAGACACACTTCAGTTTTAGTTAACTTTTGCTATGTAATGGGATCATAGTATAAACTAAACTTGGCTTATTGATAATTTAGATTATGTATTATTTTTGGATAATTTGTCTTCAAACCCACAGTTCCTGCTGTTCTCTCAGTCTAGACACCCCAATGGTCTGATTAATTGTACTTTTTTACCTTCGTTTAGTTATTTCTAAATCCAATTTAAACTTGCTCTCCTCTTTGCAGGAACTCTGACAAAGTTCAGTCAAAGATCTTTGTGTCAATAACATTGGTATTCAGAGTCAATGGTTACATTATCATCTTACCAGGAATTCTGTTTTCTTAGAATTATTCTCACCTTTTAACAGTCTTGGCTATATCTGGTTTGTAATTCTTTGAACATCATTTTATTACATCCAGTATAATAAATATTGTACTGTATGTTTTACATATCTGTTGAAATAGCTACAAGTATAAATAATTTATAAGTATAATTTATGGACATAAAAGATTTTACAGGAGACATTTAACTTTGCCCAACATTTTCAGCTAGGACTACACAGATATGCTCTTCAGAACATTTGCAAAGAAAAGCTGAAAAAGGGTTGCATTGTCAGAAATATAAACAAAAAATTTCAGTGTAGTTTAAAACATTTTCACTGAAAAAGCCATACAGTTAGTCATAATTTTTTGCCTTTTGTGACTGTCCTCAAGCACATCTTCTGAAAGATCCTTTCAGGTTGTGAAGCCACTTCTTTGGAATTTTAAATGCTCTCTAAATTCCTGTTTTTTCCTGAAAACAGGACAAATCTGAACTTCACAGGCTAAATACTAATCAAAGATTGTACAAAAAGAAGGTATTTAAATGAGAACAAGCAAGCCAATTCTGCTGTGACTTACTGTTCAGCCCTTGATAAAAACCCATGAATCAACTGTAAAGAATTCAGTTCTACGTGCAGACTTCTCATAGATTTAGATCCTTGCCCTGTGCCTCCCAGGGCATGACACTAAGTTATACTGAGAACCACTTGCCTTGAAGTCCAGTTTTTAAACACAAAGAGGAAAGTATGTCATTACAAAAAATGACCATCAGGAGGGCGTAAGGAGACACAGAAACAGAAACTGGCTGTAGTTTTGTCCTTGGGGGAGCTGTAACGCTGTGAAATTGCCACCCCACCATCACTGCACTTTTTGTCTATAATGCCATTTTAATGAGCAACAGCAGCACCCTTCAAGCATTAACATCTTCATGTGGACACTTCCTGGTTTGCCACAAGAAGGAAGGGCACAGAAACACAAGCTTCAGTATTGTAGCCTATTGGAAAC